ACACACACACACACACACACACACACACACGCACACACACGACGCACACACACACACACACACACACACACACACACACACACACACACACACACATACCTAATTACTGCGTTTGTTCGCGAACGCGCATAACTCGTGCTAACTCGTTCTCTTCGACAAACGCTAATTTCAATAATTACTCGCGTTTAAATGCCAGTTGTGGCTGCCAAATGCATGCTGTCACATGCACGAACACATCCGGGCCAAGTCGATCGATGCAATTAGCATGATCATAACTGACATGCACCCGTCAGCCACAGCGCATGCGCACGTTTCCTTCCGAGGTCCGCTGCTCACATGCCGGTGAAGCCAGATTTATGGGTTCAACGGATAACCTCGCCGCACTGAGATGGAGAGATAGGGAGATGCACATATATATAAATAGCGAGACACCGAGTATGTGAGAAGAGAAATGAGAAAGGGAAAGACGAGAAGGCGAGTAAGACGGCGAGACTGGAGCGCTGGTAAGAGGAGAGATGAAAGAGAGAGAGAGAGAGAGAGAGAGAGCAAGAAAGCGAGTAAGAGGGCAGGAAAGAAAACAAAGAGGTGTAGAAAGGGAGTCAGAGAGAGAGAGAGAGAAAGAAAGAGAAAGAGAGAGAAAGAAAGAGAAAGAGAGAGAGAGAAAGAGAGAGAGCGATGAGCGAGAAGAGAGAGAGAGAGAGAGAGAGAGCGAGAAGCGGGAAGAGAGAGAGAGAAAGAGAGAGAGAGCGAGGAGCGGGAAGAGAGAGAGAGAGAGAGAGAGAGAGAGAGAGCGAAGAAAATTTGAAAAATATGGACAGACCGAAAATAGAGAGAGAGAGAGGGCAGCACGAAAGAGAGAACGAGCGAGAAAAGGACAGGAAGAGTGCAAGTGAGAGAGACGAGTATAGACGAGTGAGCGATATAAAACACACCCACGCTCGCACACACGCACAAGCACGCGCGCGCACAAACGCACATATACGACATGTGATGAACGCGAGAAATAGAGGGAAGACAGATTGACGAGAGCCAAAGAGGGAGAGAGAGAGAGAGAGAGAGACTAAGAAAGAGAAAGAGATAAAAGAGACCGCGGGCGCTCGTTAGAGGGCGTATAGGTAGTTAGAGATGTTATTATGGTTCCCATGCACGACCTTAGGAGGCGTATAACAGTAAGCCTCCGAGATTGTTCACCGTTGCACTACTTCGTCTCTAGAAAAGGCCTTTTTTGGCATTTTTTTTCGCCGAAATTCGGCACTAGAGTGCAATAATTAGCGTTAAAGAGATAAAAGAGACCGCGGGCGCTCGTTAGAGGGCGTATAGGTAGTTAGAGATGTTATTATGGTTCCCATGCACGACCTTAGCAGCGTCATCAAGTTTGACGTACGGACGCTAGCAACTACGTCTAAAACGCAGCGGGGTCCTCAATCGACGCATGCGTTCTATATGAAGGGCACACACGGCCGCACGAGGCAGCTACAGATTCATGCAACAACATGCAGTACAACCGACAATGAAAAGTACAACAACAAAAAATCGATGAAAAAATTCGCGACTGATGAAAATTAGGCTAATATGCCGAGCGGAAAAAAACCTAATGAAACGATCATCAATCGTGAAAACCTGAATATCGTGATATATATGCTATCTCGTATAATTCGAGCTGCTGACGTGGACATATAGAGCTGATGTGCCGTGTCTGGTTTTAGTCGAACCGCCGTTCCTTCCGCACCAGTGAGCCGCTCATCAATACCATTTCGCGAGTTTTCATGGCTAATTACATCATTACGCTTTAATCATAAATATAGTTTCACAGCTTTCATGAGTAATTAGTTAATT